CCCATGTAAAGGGTAGACTTTTACACATTTTTTTACTATGCCCTAAAATTCACTAGTAATAATTAAATATTGATACTTAGTAATAATTAGATATTGAAGGAGTAATAAAACTCATTTTTTAGATGAAACCATCCCATTCGTTCTCACAATAAACTATAGGTAGCTGGGTGGAAGATACGATTTCAGTGGACAATCCATGCTTCCCTCCACCCCCCACCCCCACCCCGGCACAGGGAGAGTACAAATGAGAGGGAAGCAGAGGAGCTGAAACAGGCTCTGCTCTGACAGCAGTGTGCCCGATGTGACACTGGGTCTCATGAACCCTAAGATCATGACCTGAGATGAAGTTGGATGCTCAGCTAATGATTGAGCCACTCAGGTGCACCTAGAAAATTTATTCTTTAGTAAAATTATTTTTTACTCTTTTTCTTTATTGCAGGTAAATATCTATTTTTCCTATTTATTCATATAATCAAAATGTCACAATTATTTAAAATCTGATCAGACCATTTGTTTTCATCCCAGTGGGATATGGGAGGTCATTTTTATGAGAGATGTACTTATGCTTTAACTTAATGATCTATTATTTAAAAGCAAACATATTTTGCAGAAAAAAGTATTTGAAACCCACTAGGGAAAGCAATTTGGCTTTCACTTGTAAAGAACAGAAATGTTAACATTTTGGGGTTAGACTGAATTCTCTCTGGAGATACAGGTTTAATTCACTTTGTTATAGTACCAGAGTAGAACCTAGAAGTAAGCAAGGGGATGTCACAACTGTCTTCTAAAAGAAAGCACAGTCCTCCGCAAGTAGGTTTGCACCCTACCTTTGCCCTCATTCCTTCTTAACTAATGCTACCTAAATGTAACTCCTATCAAATCAATTGAGTATGATGCCAGCAGTCATCCACTTGTCCAAGAGTAAGTACAAGAAACAGACCTTTTTCAATGGCTACTCTGTGGGAGTCAAAAGAAACTATTCCAATACATCAAAAGAACGGCTTAGGATTGCTGGAGCCAATCCACAGTATGCAGCAATGCATCTAAGAGTTATTTGCCAAGAAGGGGGCAAAAACAGAAAACCATTAAGTCCAACACAGTATAGGTGATCCCAAGAGTGAGGCTAGATTATAGAGGAAATGGGAAAGCTGTGGCTTCATTAGTTTCACAAAAGGCTGCTGAAGAGCCATTTTCTACCAAGGTAACTTGGCTTTTGTTTTGTTTTGTTTTGTTTGTTTTTTTCTTTTGCCATAAGCAAAAGAAAATAACACGGTGGGTTTCACTGATGGAGAAAATTAAAAATGGTTCCTGGCTTTGCAACAATAGAAATTTTATATTAGAGAGGCCAGCAAAGAAAAAGAAAAGGGCAAAGGGTACATTCCTCTTGCTGCAACATGCTTTCGCTAGTTGAACCGCACCCTTGTGATTAGCAGAGCTCAGACAGCTGATCTTTGGAAGTGGGGAAGGGGCAGAAAGAGAAGGGAAGTTTTCAGAGGTGTGTCAAATGAATACTGTGTGAAATATTTGCAGCAGCTAACCAAAAAAGACTGTACATTGCCTGCTGTTATGGTAGGATCTTCTCTTTTCAAAAGCAGGAGGTATTTCGTTCCTCTGGGGAGAACAGGCACCTGTTCTCACTTTGTTCTCCATAGCTACTCAGACATTTATTTCACTTAATGCTACTTTCATTTATTTTTAACCAATCTAGGGAAGAAGTGGGCTCCCTAGTAAAGTAAAAAAAAAAAAAAAAAGGAAGTGTGAGAGTGTACCCCTCCTTTGGAAAATAAACAGGGAAGACTGAATGGAATAAAACTTAACTCCTTTCTTTCTGAGAAAGATCCAAAGAATAAAGGTGATGGTACATATAGTATTCAACTGGAATATCTGAGATGATAATGGCAGCATTTCTTGAACTATGCTTATCCCTGAACAGTTTTCTTAGGCTGTCCATGGAGAGAGGACAATAGCCACCAATGCTCTCTTTGAAGTGGTAGTCCCAACATATGCATACCACACCCTCAGCACTGAATCTTTGTCCTAAGCTTCAACGTAGCTATCTTTTTTTTAAGTAATTTATTTATTTTGAGAGAGAGAGAGAGAGAGGCAGACAGAGAGATAGAGAGAGAGAGAGAGAGAGACTGTGAGCAGGGGAGGGGCAGAAAGAGAGGAAGAGAAAGAGAAACCTAATCAGTCTCTGTGCCATCAGCAAAGAGACTGACGCCAGGCTCAAACCCACGAACCATGAGATCATGACCTGAGCCAAAACCAAGAGAAAGACACTTAACTGACTGAGCCACTCAGGCACCCCCATTTTTCTCCACTTTTGGTAGCAAGATGATATATAACATTGAATACTTCTTATTATCTATCACTACTTCATGCAATCTTCTTTTCCATTTATTCCTTAAAACAAACCCTTTTCTTCACCCTACTTTCACCTCATTATCTTTATGTTTCTGTTCAGTTGTTTCAGGAATCTTCTCTGAATAAGTAACTATCTTGTTATCAGGAATATCTTCTCCAGTTTCCCTATTCTCTTCCTATTTCATATTCTATATTGCAACTTTTAGTTTAGCTCCCATCAACTAAAAAGCTTTTCTTCTTTTTTGAAGTTTATTTATTGGGGCACCTGGGTGGCTCAGTCAGTTAAGCGTCCAGCTTCAGCTCAGGTCATGATCTCGCAGTTTGTGAGTTTGAGCCCTGCGTCGGGCTCTGGGCTGACAGCTCAGAGCCTGGAGCCTGCTTTGGATTCTGTGTCTACCTGTCTCTCTGACCCTCCCCTGCTCACACTGTCTCTCTCTCTCTCTCTTTCTCTCAAAAATAAATAAACATTAAAACTTAAAAAAAATAAAAATTTATTTATTTATTTTAAGAGAGAGAGAGAGAGATTGAGAGAGAAAGAAAGAAAACGCTGGGGAGGGACCAAGAGAGGGAGAGAGAGAATCCCAAGGAGGCTCTGCACCATCAGCACAGGGCCTGACATAAGGCTCAAACTCACTAACTGTGAAATCATGACCTGAGCTGAAATCAAGAGTCCAATGCTTAACCGACTCAGCCACCCAGGCACCTCAATGAAAAAGCTTTCTGATCCTATTCCAAGCTATTCTGACCTTCTTAGCTCTAAATTTCTATATCATTTATACATTTATACCTCACAATCCACCATTTTATTAAACACTGTCTTATGTTATTCTTTAGTTTATTCATAAATAGTTATTTTCCCAAGCTTATGGGATTCCTTTGTATTGCTCATAGTGCCTATTACAGTGTGGTTAATTAGTACTAAATTATACTTAGGGACTTGACCTGAAACCCTAAAACTGTTGAAGCCAGTTGTCAGGCCTCTCACTTTATGATTTTCCAACAACAAATTTGTCATCATTTCCAATGACTACTTATGAACTTCTATGAAGGTCTTGGGCACTGAAATGCAGGTAAAATAATTATCAACATATATACAACTCTATAGAATGTCTATTCTTTATCAGTCAATTTTATCTTCCAAATCAATTTAGGAGTTAATCCACCCAATTTTAGGGAACAGCAGAGTTCATACTATTTTTCATAACCACTCACAAAGAATATTTCTACATTTCACTGAAACACAAAAGTTAGGTAGGCAGATATAATTACTGAAGCTGGAGTACAGCCAGGAAACTTGGGAGAACACTCCCAATTCCCACCAAAGATTCCATAGATAACTACAACTAGTCAGAATCTCCATTTCCATGTACCATCTTAAACACAATCCCTCTTTTAGGCCCAGGCCTCTACCAAAATAGGGCCACTCCATCAGTAAGATTCATAGGGGGAATAGTTATATCCAGGGGTTCTTAAGGAACAATGTATGTTTTCTGTTTATTTAATTTTTTTTTTTTTTACAAACTTATGAGGTCTACAGGAAATACCCAAAGCAAGTACCACAATGTTTCCAGCAGGAAATGCATCCTGTTTTGTTAACTTGGAAGAATGACCTTTAGTTATATAGCCAGGTACTCATTCTTTTTGATATTAACCAACATCACAGGAGAATTCAACTCTTCTTTGGGAAGTGTGAAGAATGGTATAGTGTTTCCATTTATACGGCTCATGAAGAATGAGGAGTCATGAATTAACTCTACCCCTTACCTCATTTTTCATAAAGCAATTTTTCTGAGACCTCTGGATTATTTTATGGTCCTTTATATACACGTAAGGCAGAAAAACATTATCTTAGTCAGGTCTCCCTGACTGATCATGTAAACAGAGGTTAATGATAAAAGCTAAATTGGACTTTTTGGTATATTAAAACCCTCAACTCTGTGTTTATTGCCCAGATGCAACAGAAGGAATTAAAATATATTTAGATAGGGGCGCCTGGGTGGCTTAGTCGGTTAAGCGTCAGACTTTCACTTAGGTCATGATCTCGTGGTTCCTGGGTTCGAGCCCCGCGTCGGGCTCTGTGCTGACTGCCAGCTCAGAGCCTGGAGCCTGTTTCAGATTCTGTGTCTCCCTCTCTCTCTGACCCTCCCCTGCTCACACTGTCTCTCTCTCTCTCCTAGAAATAAATAAAAATATTTAAAAAATAAAATAAAATATATTTAGATATATAATAAGTGATAAAAAATTGATAAATATTCATATGTAAGAATTATGTGGTTAGGCTGCAACATGACTGGGGGAAAAAAGATTTATCACTAATCCTGAGCGTATTTTGCTGCTCGAGAATAGCAAAAAAAGAGAAAAACCACTTATATGAGTACTCACTATACTATTCTTTCCAATTCCCTTTAGGTTTATTTTTAATCAAATTGATGTCTAGTTTGTCACTGATTTCCCTGACCCAGAAAATCCTTATTTCCTGACAAGCAGCAATACATTATAACAAGGACAAATTCACTGTTAGGCAGTCTTTACTTGTTGAGTTCTAAGGTGCTCACACGCTCAGGTGTCCTTACTATTAAATGCTTTGGTATTGATAGTTAAGACATCTCAAAACATACAGCCTCAGATTTCCTTACTTCTGACCAATCCAAAGCCACCCACTGAGGCGGACATGACTGGTTGTTGCAGGACTCCATTTCAACAGGCCGGTGTGTTAGACAGCCGCTGTAGTCCAGTGTCTCCTCCTCAGAAGGTCCAATCTTCCTGATGCAGAGCACTGCCCTTGTGCGCATCCCACCATCACAAGTCTTGCTACACTCCAACCAATCCCCGATGAACCACCTGCAGCAACAAGTGGAAGGAACACAGAAAAATATTTCCTCAGTAAAGCCAGAGATTTTCTGCTGAGTGAAAACATTTTCACCAGTGGACTACCATCCTCTCCCTAAAAAAGCTGACATTTTTCAGTGTTGGTTGATGTGACAAATGACAAATGGAAGAGCTGCTAAGGAAAATATAACATTCTGTCACCTGCTTTCCAAAGCGTAGTGCATGGGCTCTGAAGCAGACAGGAGCCTGGTCCAAACAAATAATGTACTATATGTTTTTAACCACATTGATATTTTCCCTTTTCTGAATTAATTTTTTATGAGAGACAGAGCGAGTGGGGGAGAGGGGCAGGGGGGTAGAGAGAGAATCTTAACCAGGTTCCATGCTGAGTGCTGAGCTCAATGTGGGGCTCAATGCCATGATGCTGGGATCCTGACCTGAGAAGAAATCAAGGGCTGGATGTTCAGCAGACTGACCCACCCAGGCGCCCTTCTAAATTCATTTTTAAAATAAAGATAACAATATAAATGTAAGTCATTAGATTGCCATGAGGATTAAGTAAAGTAATAAATATGAAGCTCCCAGTCAAGCTCCCAGTCATGTTAAGTGTTTAACAACCAGCTCTTTATGGGGGGACAGGGACCTTGATTTATTGCATTTAACAATTTTGTGGGGTGAATATCTCACTAACACCAATTTCAACCTACATCCTTGACATGCTGATCATAAGGAGAAGATACGCTAACAATAACAGGATTTCAGGAGCCAGTGTACCTTGCTTTAGCATACCATAGAAAGCTTCTAACGTTGTGTCTAAATACAACAAACAAGAAACATTGCTTTGTTTATTATCAGATTGAAGCAGGTTCTCCTACAATCAAGGATTTTATGCTAAAACCACATTAAAGGAGCCAGGGATTTGTTTTTTGATTTCCAGAAATGAAGGTCAGGCTCTGCAGAAGATAGTAGGCCTTTACTATGCTTATGGAACAGAGAAGCCTGAAGATTCAGGAGTCTTTAAAAACCTGCACCAAGAGCAGAGCCTGAGTCAGCTCAATGAAAACATAGAGATCCCTTGTTTTGACCCCTTTATTCCTGAAAACAACATCTTGCAGCTAATGGGGGAAGAAAATGAAATAACAAAATGAACATGTTACACATTTGTAGGTAAACCACTCTTTTTTCCCTGAAGTCATAAATGAACCTTTATATATGTAATTTTAGGGTGTGTATGTGTGTGTGTGTATATGTATGTATGTAATACTTCTGCAGAACTCACTCTCTTAGGCACATTATTTGGCCCAAAGGTGTGAATCAAGATACAAATTAAACCGATGAGAATTTGGCTTTAGAACTTTTATACCTCCACTAGAGCAAAAGGGGCCCTTTCCCTTCTCGTCACAAAGGTGCATAAAGCTGTAAGAGCTGCTGGTGGCCATGTGCCCTGTCAAGTGGAATTAGCTGATGTGAAAGAATACAGAGGAGCTAGAGGGCCCTGATGCTGTTTCAGTCCTGGATTCTAGCCATTCCTGAAGCATCTATGGTTGCCCTTCCCCCCAGCTTTGCTAAGTAAACCAACAAATCCTCTCCTGTGCAAAAAGTTGCTGAAGTTGAAGTTGTATTATTTCCAACCAGAGTGCTGATTAATATATTATTGTATTTAATTTAATAAATACATGCTGAATGCCTACTATATTCAAGGAATTTCACTTTGTTTTGTAGAAGAAGAAAGTAAGGTTAGTATTAGGAATAGTAGTTATACAAAGTCATGAAAAGAACAATGTTGAAACTAGGACTAGATCCCCCAGCAGTTACTATTTCCATTGAATTTCATTTTCAACCCTGCTAAGTAGTAGGATCTAGGTCACAGGCATGAGGTCTCTCTAGTAGTTTTCTTCAATCCATGATTCTAAATCATGCAACTGTCTTCACGGGATATGTTCATGCTCTTCTTGGGTAAGAGACTATCCAGATAGAAGAGTGTGAGCTGATGTGATTGTGCCAGTTTTGTATGTGGAAGATAGTACCTTAGTGAAGTCAGAATACTAGTTTCCAAATTTGAGCCTGTAGTTAGCCAAATGAGCAACAATGACCTTTGTTCCTTATAGAGAAAAACCAGCATTTAGAAATATGGTAATTAACCAGTTTCTCAAACTTAAAATACATCTTTCCAAAATTCGAACACTTTCAACTTAAAATTAAATTTTTAAATGTTTATTTATTATTGAAACAGAGCATGAGCAGGGGAGGGGCATACAGAGAGGGAGACACAGACTCCAATGCAGGATCCAGGCTATGAGCTAGCTGTCAACACAGAGCCCGATGCAGGGCTCAAACCCATGAACTGTGAGATCATGACCCGAGCTGAAGTTGGACGCCCCACCAACTGAGTCACCCAGGTGCCCCTAAAATTCAATGATTTTAATCATTTAACCAAAAGAATGATAATTTAATCCTGAGACTCTGATATTAGTGGGTTTTTTCTAAGTTATTTTCCAGAGGAGATTTAAAGCAATTTTCATATTCTTTCCATTTTGTTTTCCACAGATGAACATGATCCCCACTTCTTAGTACCATTTTTGGTAAAGAGGAAAATGTGTACTGAGAATAATAACTTGCATGCCAGCCATAGTGAAACTCTGATTCAATTCGCAACAGTGATTTCATCACCAAGATTAGGGGATAAAACAGAAATGTGTATAACTCAGCCACAAAAAGTCCAGTCATACCACCTCCAGCCATGATCTCATTAGGTTTCATAATGTAAGAGGGATGGAGTCCTTCAAATTAAACACAGGTGCCCAGAGTAATAGCAGTGATTCAGGAGGTGTTGCTGTTCTTTGCTGCATGAGGTCAGGGCCACCTCCACCTTTTTATTCTTTGTCCTCTCTTTTATTGCCAACCATCTCTTAGTCTAGATGCTTCAGTATAGCATTTAATTTGGAATGTATGAAAGTAAAAGTATTAACTACCCTCCCAATTTCTCTTCTGACTTGAACTCTGATTTCAATCCCTGTTGCATCTTTATTGCTCACCAAATCATCCCTTCCCATGTCTCTCTGCAGGATTGAATCACACCCTAGTTATTTAAGTTGTTCTGCAATTTTGCCATTGCATCCACTCATCCTGTTTTCTCTATTCCGCTGTCCAGTTTAAGACATATGGCTTCCTTTATCTTCACTCTCCCCACTGCATTTGACCCTCTGATGACCCTTCTCCCCATTTCTCCTTTTTTCCTCCTCTAGATTTTGTGGTAAAAAACACAAAAACTCTCTTTGGAAATGTCAACTGCTGAATTGTTATAGACTGAACAATACCAGGAATGCTTCTTTCTGAGCTCTTCCCAACACCCAGTGATCAGATTGTCTACATTCTCACAAGTGTCTTCATATCCATTAGACACTAACAACTAGTGGCATTCATGTTTGACTGTCTAAGGATGATGTGATGCCATCTGTGTAATCTTGACCTATAGTGTCTGTGTAATTGGACAAACAATATATTTGGGGTGGGGAGGAAATGAGAGAGACACTATAAAACATGTTCACCAAACCTAGGTTAGTCAGAATATTTTTGAAGCAAGAAGCAATCATAAAGCTAGAATATTATTTTTGTTTTTAAACTTAAAGGGAAATGGCAGAGCATATGAAAATAAACTGCTACTGGATGTTTGGATTAAAAGAGATAGAAAGAGATTTCCTAGATTTTGCCCCAGAGTCCAGCATCTACTTATCAACTCTTCTCATAAACACAACATGGCAAAATTAAAAAAAAAAAAAAAAAATCTTCATAATTTAACAATAACATCTTTAGTCAGAGAGATTCAAATATGTAACCTATTAACTACCTTACTAGGCTAGAACTTTGCTAGATTTTAAAACAGATTTCAGAAAAAAATTCTAGGGGTGCTGGGTGGCTCAGCCATTAAGCATCTGACTTTAACTCAGGTCATGATCTCACAGTTCATGGGTTTGAGACCCTTATCAGGTTCTGTACTGACAGCTCAGAGCCTGGAGCCTGTTTTAGATTTTGTGTCTCCCTCTATCTCTGCCCCTCCCCTGCTCATGCTCTGTCTCTGTTTCAAAAATGAATAAGCTATTAAAAAAATTCTAAGCATTAAGTTGGTAAAAAAAAAAAAATCTGCTCAGTACTCAGCTAACTGGAAAGTAAAACTAATACTAAGCATAAAACTCTATGCCCTAAACATCTCCCAGTTGAGATTTTTCTAAATTAAAAAAAAAAGTAGGGTCACCTAGGTGGCTCGGTCAGTTAAGTGCCCAACTTCAGCTCAGGTCATGATCTCAAGGTTTGTGAGTTCAAGCCCTGCGTCGGGCTCTGTGCTGACATCCCAGAGCCTGGAGCCTGTTTCAGATTCTGTGCCCACCCCCTCCCCTTCTCTGCTTGCACTCTGTCTCTCTCTTAAAAATAAATCAGCATCAAAAAATTTTTTTAAATGTATAAACATCTCTGAAATTATGGAAGTAGAGGTTGTGTCAATGAAACAAACAAGTATTAAGTATTGAAAGTATTCAGGTGCCACCAGATGTTTGATTTGTAACTTATAATGTTAGTGATATATGTATAATGAGAAAACATCACCAGAGAGTAGTATAACCTGGTCATGATATGTATTGGCCTATGAGGTTTCTGTGATTATTCCCAGCCCTTAAATTTTGGAGTTTTATAGAGGACTCTGATGAAACTTTTCTAAACTTAAAATAATAGATTATAGTTGTCCCTGGGTGAGGCACAATGACTTAATATATTGTTAAACATTATATCATAAAAGATATCATTAAATAAAACCTAACCCTGTGGCGCCTGGGTGGCTCAGTTGGTTGTGTCCAACTTCGGCTCAGGTCATGATGTCGAAGTTCATGAGTTTGAGCCTGGAGACTACTTTGAAGTCTTTGTCTCCCTCTCTCTCTGCCCCTCCGCCCGCTCACACTGTCTCTCTCTCAAATATAAATAAACATTAAACAAAATTTTAAATAAAACCTGACCACAAGTAA